TTATATATATATATATATATATATATATATATATATATATAGGGTTGGCTTTAAACCATAAAGGCTTTGATTGATTAGTTCTGGATTTCTGAGATTAATGAGCCTAAGTATCCAACATTTGGAGCCCTTATTACATTGTCTCCAAAAGTTGTTTTTCATTCCTGACATTTTGATATTCTGCCATGATGATTAAGCTTATAAGATAATGTTTATTTGGCCCCTAAAAATTATTAATTTTCTTCTTTTATGAAAGGATTAATAATTCAAGTGATTTATTATAAAATAATTAATCTATTATGGAAAAGGGCATGAGCTGCATGAGGACATTAATTCATAGCTAATTAATATATAATATCTTTGTTATTAAAAGATTGTTGTTATAAGAGCATTAGTGAATGAAATGATTATATGCAATATTTATAAATTCTTTTCAAGGAATAAATTATCAAGTCCAGGCAACAATGGAGCCGAAAATTAAAGTAGCTTTGGAAATTGTTGGGATTAATCATTTGTTTTGTTGGTGTTTTAATTGCTTTTGTTGCCTTAGAACTCATCATTAGTATCCAATTTTTTTGGGATTTTTTTCACTACCTAAATAAAATACATTATTCATTTTATTTTATTTTTAATCTCTGATTTACAGAAAAAATCACATACATGAATGTGCATAAAATCTGTACGAAATTCGATTCAAAACTTGATCATGTACGAATTTCTACCAAAAATAAGGACTTCATCATCACGATTGTGTTCCGCTACTTAAATTTCGATTCAAAAATCTCAACGTATGCTTTTCACTATATATAAACAGGACAAATTACGACTACCCCTGAATGTAAGTCCAAAATACAAAAAAACCCTTCCGGTTTGGATAACTACAACCACCCCCTCAACTGTCTATCCTTACGGTTTCAAATTTACCTACTAAAGGAGGGGTTCTTTAGTAATTATCCAAACGGGACAATACATAGTTGAGAGGGGTGGTTGTAATTATCCAAACGGAGGAGGTTTTTTCCGTAATTTGAGCTTACATCAGGAGGTGGCCGTAATTTGCCATATATATACATATAGATAACTTACGAATAATGTGTATATATTGAAATTTAATTTTTGTTCTAAGAATCGACGAGAGGTGAAAAACGCACTTGTCATTAAAGTGCAACATCTCGAAATAGTGTCCCAATTTCTTCCTAATTCTCATTCTCAAACTCTTGTCCAGAGTGTTTGTATGTCTGAAACAAATACGGTACGATTTTCTTGTAGTCTCCAATCTCGACACCCGTGTTATGATCCACAAGGTAAGGCACCTGCATTTTTACCATAAGCCAATTAATGGTGATTGTCAATTTATCATAATCAAGAATTACCTCAACATTTGATTAAACCCTTTATTTGATTTTCCATTAATATACAATTGTTTCATGCAATACGAAAACTTATATATAAGCTGACCTCTTTTGACCCGGACATCTCATAGAGCAACTTTGCCCGTTTTGACCCTTGACCAACACTCTGAAGTATATAAGGAAGCTCCAATTCGCAAAGGGCCTCACGAACAATTCGAGCATACTGCAAAATAATATACGCATCACTACATTTGAAGCAAAAACCATATGTCAAGGTTTTCTTTTGATCTTCAATTAATAAAATTAGGCACAATTAAAAAGTTCTCTTTTTGGGATAGGGAAACAATTGGGACTCGTTTGGTTGGTAAGATTAGTAATGATTAATTAAATAATTGGACTTTATCGGATGTTTGGTTAGACAAATAACTTTTCGGGCCGACCTGCAATTGTGGAAAAAATGGCTCTAATCTTGGTTAATTGTGAGATTATTTAATTTTATATTAGCTAATCTTATCTTGGGAACCAAATGAGGCCTTACAGGATTGTTTTCATAGGAGAAAAGCTCCAATTTGCGAGGAGGTCCTTCTTTAATGGAGTTTTTCCAAAGTGTCATTCCTCTGCCTGCTCGAAGTAGTGTTGGCATCCATCCCGTGACCAATGTACTGCATATTTAAAATAAATAAATAAAGAAAATCAATTATTAAGGTAACGTAAATATAATTTTACTCGTTCGCAAAAGCACAAGATAACAAATACCTCTCCAATATTCCAAATGACGGACTCCTTTTTCCACCATATTGCTCAAATAAGTATTTTACTATGTCACCTAAAGAAAATAAAGAAATCCCAATAGTTAAAAACCGAAAAAAGAAATACTAAAAATAGGAGAGACGACTTATAAATTATATCAAATAAATCTCGATAAAAAACAGTATCTCTAAGCTACAATTTCCTATTCGAAGCATTTTCTATGCGAAAAGTACTTCACTGAAAAAAAAAATCTTTTTCTTACTGCTTTCATACATTGAAGTTCCGGTATTGGGGTCCACTAGGAAAGGAAACCTGCAAATAAATAAATAAAAAATATTTTGGTAACCAACGAGTCGACAAAATGTCACAAGAACAAAATCTACGAAAAAAATCTTTCAATTGTAATTACATGAATATTTAAGGAAACACAAAGTGACGATAAAATTCGTGTCCGTTGGATGTCTTTTATATCAATTTCATGAAACTTTAGTCAAATAAACATGAAACTTTAGTCAAATAAAACGGGAAAAGATCTTTCCGACGTAAAAAAGATTGAAGTGAAAATATTGCTTACTGTTCTCTGCCACCAAGTTCTTTAACCAATGCCCTATGTCTTAATGACCCTTTTGGACACGGAAACACCTGCAAAAAACGAGAGAAATTTCAAAGAACCAATCATCAGAATATTCTCGAAATAGCGTGCAATTTTTATACTCGAAAGAAGCATATTTCGATAAAGATAAGCAAAAATGATCCCTTACTCACCTCTACAGACAGATCAAGCTCGGTTATAGCCTCACGAACCCTCCTGCAAAAAGGGCACGCCTCTGTTCACAAAATTCCCAATAAATTTTACAATGATAATGCAGTAAAAATAAGTAGTAAAGAATTGAGAATAAAATCATAACGGAACTCACCGAATTCGAAAAGTTGCAGATACAGAGGAGGGTTAACTTTCTGTTGACCGTTTAAACCATCGGATCGCGATTTAGAACCCCATGGGAATCTTGCTAAAGTAGATAATGAAGATGTGGTCTCCTATTACATGTACAAGATTAATTAGCTTACGTGGATATAAATCTAAATTATATCGGCACATTCGATAATTAAGAAACTTAACTACAGGTGATAGAGAAACTCAACTAAGGTGGTGTTTGCAAAAGCTTTTACAAAGAGATTATGAGCTGTTTTTGGCTCATAATCTATTTTTAGGTGTTTGTAAAATGAACTTTTGCTTTTGCTTCTCTTAAAATTAGCAACTTTAAGCTATAATTTCTTAAGCACCTATGACCCAGCCTTTTCTATTTAAGTCATGTTTCCAGCAAATTTGCAAACAGCCCCAACTTTTAGAGATAAAACACTTAAAACCAACTTAACTTACAATCCACAACTTCTACTTTTAAATAAGCTTTTGCAAACACCACCTAAAAATAAATAAAAAGAATAAAAATAATAATAATAATAATAATAATAATAATAATAATAATAATTTAAAAAAAAAAAAACGAAGTTTGCAAAATACCTCGAGTAGATAGTTCCGCTCTGCAGAGGGATCGGTAGCCTGTAAGATTAACAAAAACCATAATTAATAATTAAAACAATTTGGGACAAGAAATTGGCAACAAATAATAAACCCTAAATTAAGATTAGGGTTTTTTATGATTTTCAATCAAAATTACTCACGGAGAAGAGTTTAAGCAAGGGGCAGAGGAGAGAAAGGAAACTAGTTGATGGGCCGCCGCCATTGTTATCTTCTTTATCTTGAGAAATAAGGGTTTCGTTATCTTGATTTGCAGAATTTATTGAGTGAAATCTGTTTCTTTTGAAAGAAATCGGACGTGGGGTTTGAAATCTTGCAAGAGGGTTGTGGTTAGTACTACATGAATTTTCACGAAAGGGTCCGGCAAAAGATGGGTTTGGCGAAGAAATTGTTTGGGAGAACATCGGAGATAAATTTATGCGGTGGTTTTGTGACCGTTGATCTTACCGGAAAGTATACCAGGGATGATAATATATGAATAAAAAATATCTTCCATTAAAAGAAAAAAAAAATAGTGATAAATAAATGTTATAGTAAAGGGTGTCACTACTTCGAGTGTAAATCGGACGGGTTGAAGTAGAATTAGTCATTTCCGAAAAATTTCGATTTTTTTAGGGAAGTGAAACACTAGTTCCAATTCCGTTCTAAAAAAATATCGGAAATCCCGAATTCGTAATTTTCCAAGTTTTGCTCACCTTGAACATAAAATGTATAATAATATTGGTATTTTAATTATAGTATCCGGAAAATAAAAATCAGAATTTTTAGAGTTATTTTTCGGAACTTTAATTGGATCGGAGATCGGAATCTCGTATATATTCCAATACGAATGCAAATAACTTCGGAAATATTGGAAGTCGGAAGTCGGAAGTTCGGAATTGAGATTGAAAAATTGTTCCAATTTTCACCCCTAACTACGAATATTAAGTGATAATATTTCTGTATAATAACTAATTAAATTCGTGTTTAAATAATTGACAAATTCATTTTTTCAGTGCAAACATATACTACAAAATCATTATGGCAGTTTTTATTGTTTTTTGTTTCTTCTTTTATTTATTTTTTTTTAGATTGGCAATTTTTATTGCTACATGTGTAATAAATTGTCATTCGTTTATCTATTTTCTTATCCTTTTCTAAAAAAAGTATATATTATTAATTAGTCATAATTTCTAATAATTTTTATTTTTCCTAAAAGGTAGATGGATATTAGTTTGTTATCGGCTTTAATACCGAATTCACCTAATTAGGCTTCAAATTAAAAGCCCAATTAACCCAATTAGGCTTCAAATTAGTGAGCCCCAGTCCAACAAGCAACAGGCTTCAAATCACATACGATGGGTCGATGGCAATTGATTATAAATAATTGTACTGACTAGTGGTGTGAACGAGCCGAACTCGAGATGAACTCAACGGGAAAATCTCAGAAGAAACAACCCAACAAACGGGGCCAATCCCAATGGAGAAAAAAGCCACATTCCCACAAACAAACAAAACCGCCAGCACGATCCCGATTAATTATACCCTCAGTCGACTTCATTTTGTCGAGCTTAGGTCTGCATGTTATACACGTGAATGAGGACTGATACATTTGTGAAAACTATCGATCTAGGGACTGATACGCGTTTTGGAGTTTGGTTCAGGGATCTATATGTAGTTATCCCTTTTATATTATAAAGAAGGAACATGCAAAACAATAATAAAAGTAATATTAATTCCAAGATGGCACATGGTTCAAGATATACCATTCCTCAAATCAAATGTAACAAACCCTATGAAAATGATGAGTGTGAAGAACAAGTATCCAAAAATAGATGCAAAATCATTGACATTTCGATATAAATTGATCACTAGGGTTTGCTAAAGGTATCTGGAATCTTACCCACAAATGAATCTTTTCCCTTTCTTCTGAAATTTATCTGCCACATAATAATAATAACACAATCACAAAAGCCAAATTATTCATCCCCAACTAAATAGTAATAAATGATTTTAATAATAATAATAATAATAATAATAATAATAATAATAATAATAATAATAATAATAATAATAATAATAATAATAATAATAATAATAATAATAATAATAATAATAATAATAATAATAATAATAATAATAATAATAATAATAATAATAATAATAATAATAATAATTATGCACCACTACTTGTCCAATATACGAAAAACACACTTGTTTAAAATGAATATGATAAGATTAAGAGATGTGTAGAGATGGAGACAAATCTGCAATCTTGCTGCTTACTTGTTACAGAACTCAGATTTTGCTGCAGAGTTTTTTCAGACAATAAACAATCCCAATGCCAAAATCATTAATACAAAACAATTATATATAGGTGCTTAAAATATATCTTTGTGCAAGAAAAAAAAAAACGATGCATAGAAGAATTTTGATGACAGAGTTGTTCATCAATTATAATAAAATTAATTTCCTGACAATTAATTTGGGGAAGAAACTATAAAGAATATACGAGATTAATTCGATGCCGCTGCAGCATAATATATAGCGAAAAAGATCTACAAATAAATAAACTAGAGATTCTTCATCATGTATTAGCCTTTCAGTGCATTTAAAATAAAGGGCTTCACTCAGTTTATGAAGATGAATTAGATCCTTAATAATACTTTAACAGTTTCAAGTAAACCCTAGAAATAAACAATGGATAATTAAGATCCATACATATATATGTGTGTATATATATATATATATACATCATTTAATTAGCAGAAATCAAGACTACCAACAAATTAAGGGACTTCTCACAAAATCTGCAGAAAAATCAGAACTAATTAGGTAAGAAATACACAATATATATTATGAAAATGGATTATCCATATATCTATATATACATACATATTTATATATTGATAGATATAATCAAGAAACTTGGGAATAAATAAAATTAGGGTTCACAAGAAAAGTACAGGCGGAAACTTGTAGGTAGGGTTGATGAAGAAAAATAAAAATTAGGGTTTGAGTTAAATTAAATCGGGCAAAAGGGGATCAGATGAAGCTACCACATGATCTAATCTTTCATCAACAATGGAGGAAGACAAATGTTTAGATCATGCTGGCAGCTTTAGCAGATACCATTGCACGCATTTATACACCAACAAGAACAAAACCCTAGCTACCCTATATATTTATATATATAAAATACAAAGTGTTTTTATTTGCCTGGAAATAAGAGATGCATATGGGGAGTATAAATAGAGGCCCGAGTAGGAGGCAATTAAATAAATGGAAATATTATTTTAATTTTTTTTTTTAAGATAAGGAAATTGTGAAGGAAAAGCTGTGTAATTTTTTTATTTTTTTATTTTGTTTTTATATATTAATAAGATCAAGAATTATTTATTATTGTTAATAATAATATTAGAGGGTGGAGTGGTCCCTATTGATGCAAATTGAATATTGTCACGCCACCATGCAGATTGTGAGGGTTACTATATTTTTCTAATTCACTTTAGGGTTGGATTGGAGGGTGGGGGACCTTTTTTTCTATCTCTAAAAAATTAATCAAATTAAATTTGAATTTGAGTAATAATAATTAGTCTTGAGTGTATTATTTGGCATTAATACGTACACTTGCGTGCAGGTATATATATATTTTGATATGGAATTGTTTTGAACTGATGGTTGTGGTGGAATTCGAACACGAGAGAGAAAAGTATGAATTTGATATTATGTTGAATGACCATCTATAATCATCTGCGTGTGTATACAACATTGAGTTTCGTTCCAATGTGAAATATTCGTGTCTATGATCTATGATTTTATGTGGTTGATCAATTGCATCTCGATCGGGTCTATATCTATAATGCTATACAATTTCCTCGACAATGTTGTGTTCCTTGCTTTTATGTGCTACACATTTGGGTACTAGCCTACTTGTATCGATCGTATAGTAGGTGTTGGACGTACTAGTATTATCGTGTGCACATACATGTTACATTCAGTGAACTGTACGACAGGTAAAAATATATGATTCGCACATATATTTTTATTTTTTTGTAAATAATCAAATTGATCAGTGTATTTCACCGGCTATTGCTTCCAGCTAAGAAATCGTAGTGCGTAGATAATCGTAAATTGTCTTACATTTCACACTCACAAGTCACACCTTTGAAAGAAGGATGAACACATAACTCATTCTAGCTATATATGTCATTGTGCCAAATGTAGATTGTGTAATATATATTTTTTCATATGTGAGGATTCAACATTTGTATGTATGTATATATTGGTGTATATATATATAACAAGAGGCCGGGGACCATAGTTTTCAATGGATGAATTTGTTTATATCTGATGAAATGCAATATTCACACAAAAGAGGAAACTGAAAGAGCATCTCTCATCAAACCAGCTACATTATTTGTATCATTTTAATACAATATATATATATATATATATATATATATATATATATATATATATATATATATATATATATATATATATATATATATATATATATATATATATATATATAATATATATATATATATATATATATATATATATATATATATCTATATATCTATCTATCTCTATATATATATATACTATATATATATATATATATATATATATCTTACTCTCTATATATCATATATATATATATATAGCGAGAGAGATCTATATATATATATATATATATATATATATATATATATATATATATATATATATATATATATATATATATATATATATATATATATATATATATATATATATATATATATATATATATACACTATTATTGACAAACAGCAAAATTAACTAGATGATAATGTTCTTACTAATTTCTTCCCTTGCGAAATATCAACTTCTGTTGCAGGACAATAGCTTATGTTCAGAAGTGGACACTGGAAACAAGAAAATAGATATAATTAAAATATATAACATGAGAAAAATATATCCAAACTTGAAACTTGAAATGTATTTGATGATTGGAAAAAAAAATAGACATGTTCATAAGAAAAATAAAAAAATAATACAGATAAATAAAATTAAGGTCGATAAAATGGAAGAGGTTCGAGGTGTTTGCCTGGGTGAATTTTGTAGGAGGATCCTTGCATTCCGAAAACGACGATGATTGTGTCATACAACCAAAGGCAGCTGCTACAACATCCTCAGACTGCATAAATTCATAAATATAAGACAATTTCTTTTTTTCTTTTCCTTCAAAACGTGAAAAAAAAAAAGGAACTCACCTCTTTGTAACCTATTGAAAGTCGTTTAGCATAGTCGTTAGCAACGTGTTGTTTTTCAGTACCAGTAACTGCATCATGATG